GCTGTCCTTGTTATAAAAAAGAGAAAAAATAATAATAGGGGAAGCGAAGGGGTACTGAGGTGGGGGACAGGGCCGCTGATGTCGTGGCAACGACGCGCTTGTAAAAGTTGAAAGATTTGCATAAGTAATTTGACAAAATGTAGTTGACAGTAAAAAGCAGCGAGCCATGCACACATGCACAACACACCGAAGAATTCCTCTGGCAAAATAATATGTCGCGGGGTGTTAGGGGGGCAACTGATGACAGCGGTTGCCCAAAAGGGAGGCGCCAATCCCCCCTACCCACACCACAGGATGGGGCTATTTTTCTTACTTATATAGCCACGAAGGGGGGAGCAGGAGCCGTTTCATTACCCCAAATGAGAAATGCGGAAAATGCACTGACAAACGCTATATTAAAATATAGAAAAATTGCTTTAAAGTTCATATAAAAGCATTGTTAAAGGGTTATTTCAACAGAGAACTGGATTAAGTTTTCTTATGGAAAACCTTTTTAAAGAGCTTATGAAGTATCTTAAATTAAAATATATTTTGATCTCTGAATATAGTAATATGTCCTCTTTTTATAGACTAGTTCGAGCATATGTTTTGATTATAGTTTGACAACCATCACTTTTTACTATTAAAAGCTAGCAATGCACTTAAAAAGTTTTCTCTTGAATTCCCAAGAACTACTACTTCGTGTTTAAGTGTTCGGCTATAATAAGTCTTGTTTCTCATATTAAGAATGAAGCACTCTGAAATTGTGAGCAATTCGATCAGCTCAATCAAATATATATAATATATGTAATTTATGTTAGACCTAGTTATATAGAAGTTCAAATACTCTAAAAATGACAACAAAAAATACAAAATTTGAAAAACATCTAGCAGATCATATTGATATAGTAAAAAGTAAAAAACATAAATTTTAAATCTTTTTTTATTGTGTTTATTTATTCCATTATTTTATCAACTATGTTGGCTTATGCAAATGAATGGACTCCTTAAAAGGGTGTTAAAAGAAATAAGTAAAACACAACTCATAAAGCGCACATCAATTTGACATAACGGAAGCATGATATGCGCGCATAAATTTTATGCACTTCAACACCACAAAAAGCGGTAATGATAATTCCGTGTCGCGTCATAAAAGTGCGATACACCCGATGTCACCCTCTTGGCCAAAAAAAAGTAAGGTAAGCACCCCAATAATAACCGGAAAAGGGGAGCCCAAAGAATGTACCTAAACACAGGACGACAACAAGCCACAAAAGCTCTCGTAAAAATGTATCTATGCATCCGCTGGCGATTGGCAACGAAATAAGTGTGTTGCTAAGCTTTCTTTACACTACACTGAGAGAAAACAAATTTGACAAATACAACGGGATTCGATATTAATATCTATCTAATATGTGCCTTCCTCCACTAACAATCAGTATTGATTTAACGTCATAATCTTTGATATCACAATCTAATCGTATGTTTCTGCAATATAAATAGTTAATAAAGTTACACTTTACTTAAAATATTAGTAAATATTTTCAAGACTTTCTAACTTGATACTTCAATCAGAAAAGAAACAGAATTTATTATAAATACAATAATATATTATTATTATATTATTTATATATTAGTTACACTTTACTAAAATAATTAGTAAATATATTCAAGACTTTCTAACTTGATACTTCAATCAGAAAAGAAACTGAATTTATTATAAATACAATAATATATTAAGTCAGAGTTAATTCATAAGATAAATTATTTATGTATTGAACAAATTAATAATTAAACTTTTTAAGTTTCTCCAGGTGTATCTGCTAGTTGGGTAAGGACGCCGCTTATGGAGATGGGTGTGTGGTCGGTGGGTGGATGGGCGGCTTGACGGGGCGAAACTATCCACAGCTGCAACGGGTGAGTGGCTGCCCCGGAGGTGGTGGCTTTTCCTCATTCGTTGGCAACGCTCCGCTCACGCGACACGTGCGTGGAAAACTCAACTCCGTATTGTTGCGACATTGTGCATTGTGTTGTGAAAAGTTGGAGCTGTTGAAACTGGAATAAAATAATAATAGACAACGAGTGTCAGCAGCTGCCGGGAAAGGTAAAAAGTGTGGCAAAGAAATAATCGACATGTCTGTTAATTATGGTGAAAGTTTTTCCGCACACACGTCGCTCCTTTTGCTGAGCTGACTTTTCCTTTTCCGTGTTGTCTCTTTATATTTTTTCATTTCACTGTTCACTGTATTGGAGCGACAGCTGGCGGCGTCAGTAGCCGATACTCGTACTTTTGCTTGTTAGCGAAACAAGCGTCGCGTCATCGCATCTCTGTATAAAATACTATAGTATCTGTAGTATCCCTGAATCTGGTTCGTGTCATAAAGACACGCACAAATCATGCTTAAACTCGGCCTGCTCCAGGGTCCCTTTGCCGGCTTTTAGCGCTGTCCTCGCTGCCTTTTGCTTAACTCGCAATTTATGGTTAATCGATGTTGTCTTTGAACGTGACCTATTTGCTTTATTTGCCATAGGTCTTCAGCCGTTGTCCTGTGAGTCCCCGTATCCTGTGTCACCAGTGCCTCCAGTGTCTCTCTGTATGTGCCGCCATTATCCCTGTCGCACTCGGTGTCCTGCTGACGTGTTAAATCGACTTTTTGTTTACCCTTACCCTCAATAAAGCCATAATTTATTTTTCATGTTCTATCGCAGTTCGTTAGCATCTCCCTATTTCGTCCTCCCCAATTCTTTTTGCTCTTTCTCCTCGTTAGCTGTCTCTTTGCTTTTTGCATACGTGGCGTATGCGTTATATGTATTATGTGTGTTTGGAACGTCTCCGAAGAGAACCTGGGCCAAATCGATACTACGGACGACCTTGACTTCTACGGAGGATGCTGCAGTTTGCCAGTTCCGGTGCATTTGTTGCTCAGAAACAAATGTTGCCAAGACCCGGGAAATCCCCGCCGACAGAGCTTTACAGTTTGCCAAGCTCTGGAGTATTAAAAACAACTGAGCCACTAAAACTTTTTTCATTATATGATACATTACGTATTTACGTATTTAGTACCATGGAATTCTATTGGTTTGAAAAATACACCCTCAGAGAACTATTTTCCCAAAATTATGTCATAGCTTCATATGACCTAAATATGCCAATTTTACTTTTGGAATGGGATTTAAATTTATTCTTTCCTCAGTGACCTGTGAGTGGACCTGCGTGTGCCATCTAAGGACACCAAAGTGCCACCTGGGGTTCTTAATTAGAGCACCGTTCACTAGTCAGTCGTGACTGTCTATCTAACGGGGTCATCAGCACAGGGAGCCCTAGCAGATATATAATTATATATACATGTGCACATAAATAGTTAGAATAAAAGCTTTGTGAGGTTGTCTGACATGCCAGTTATTCAAATCACATAAATCGATGTAATTTCGTCCTCGAAAGCCTTTCTCGCAGTGAAGGCCCAGAGACTATGCCAGTTGCTCTCCAATTCCGGGTGTTCGTTGGCCTTCTGAATAGCCAAATCAATGTTATTGATTCGAAAAACAAACATTTGACGGTTCAGGGCTGTTTACTTCATTACCAGTGATGACTACATGAAATCAAACGAAATTGGAAATTAAGTCGCTATAGTTCGGGGTACAACTTCAATGAAAATTATGTAACAATATATTATGTTTTGTGAAAACAGCCACTAAGACGTCAAAGGAAATGCATGTATGAAAGGAATAATCAAATAATTTACTCAGTGCTTAAACACATATCAGGAGTGTCAGGACTATGTTCAGATTTCAAGTAGGTATTTTGAGAACATTAAAACAATCTCTGCTTTGCTGTAAAAACTTTAAACAATATCAAAACAAATCAACTAAATATTCAAATCAATATTAATTTATCTTCTATGCTATTTTAATTTTTGTTTCAATCTGTTCTTATCTGATTAAATTCCTTATTAAGTCAATGAATTCCCAAATGAAGCATCTTAACGTTAATTAAATGCTTGCTTGGTGTGCAAATGTTGTCATCGCTCATTCCTACATATATGTATGTAGGTGAATCTGTTATTATTGTGATGTCATGCGTGAAATATTGAGGTGAGCGCACACACTTGCACCCGCCCGCCAAATTGAGTGCTAATCAAACTAGTTTGGACCTCGAGTCGTCACAGTTCATTGAGCCAAGTGCCACCTGGTCAGAGTTTATCCCCGCCCGTGTGGGTGGCAGCTCAATGAAGATTGTGGCCCAGACTAAAGGTGTGCTTATCCACACAGAGAGAAATGATTGGGAAACACCTTAATATAATTTACTTTGGCTACAATACATAAGACATTTAACAGCTACTAATTTTCTTCATTATTTTTCCAAGTACATTTTCCTCTGTGTGAGGAAACAACATCTCAAAGGTCAATTAGGCCACACAAGTTATTTTCTTGAAATGTACTTTTAAGGCTGAGCTACAAAGTAATTCCACATTTTTTTTAACGCTGACAAGCTTTTCTTTAATTCAGATTCACATTCAAGATAGAAAACTGCTGGCAAGCCTTTGAGTGAAGCGAACCGTGAACTCGATGTGCCATAAATAGATGGCAAGTCATATTTGGCCAGATTAATTTAAAATGTAAATCAACTCGGTAAATTACAGTGAGTACTTTGGTTTCCTGGAGATCGTGCTTAATTAGGCGCCTTTGAGCTAAAGTAAATCAATTCCGAGTGTAGTCGCCCTCGGCCATGACTGTCATAGCCCGGCAACCGATGCCATCGCCCTTGCCGGGGCCAGAAAAGTATTTGCCGAGCTGACAATTATTGTGGCAGCTTAAACACAGAAATTAAATATCAAACAAATTCGCATTAATCGCCCCGGGCCATTGACGTCTTTTAAGCCGGCTTACAAGCAAAGAGAAATGGAATCTTAATTAAATCCACACAAAAATTGATAAGGGAAACGTAAACAGTTTTCCTTCCATTAAAATATTGAAGCTTTAGCTATTACATTCAAAGGTTTATTTGAGTCTTGTAATATTTTTAGTTGGCAGTGTCATATATGTCATAGTTTCATCAGGCATTGTTAAGTTTCTATCTTTCGTTTCTATTTATATACAAAGTCAGTTTTCAGGATTTTCAAAATTGTTAAAAAAAAATTGTAACTTTTTACGATCTCACAGAGACCTACAGAAATTTCAATCGCTTAAATATGGCACCCTTATCAAGAGTATACAAAATTGTATTTGGCTTTCATTGCTTTATTATTACTAAAGTGTTCATCTAAAATTTTTTGTTTCTTTCACAGATGCAACGTGAGAGCCCCTACTCGAAGGAGGCCGCCCTGAGTAACTTGGCCAAGCGCGAGTTGGCCAACGGCCTCGACAAGGATCCAATTTACAAATTGCGCCTCCAGTGCTTCAGTCGCGGTGCCACTGGCATCTTGGGCCTGGCCAGGTGAGTTAGCCACAACCACGACACCCGTTCGTACCTCTCTCCCTTTCGATGGGTTAACTTGATCAAGGAATCGAGGGTTTTGCCTAAGGTTGGCTCATTCTGTTTGCATAATGTTGGAGAGACCTGTAGGGATAGTGGACTGTTTGCTATTTGTTTCTTATCTGCACACTTGTTAGGAGTGGCACTGATTGTAAATAATACCCTTTAATCTGTCAAAGATATATATCATGTAGGGTTTTAAAGAGTTAAAGCACTGTAGAATACCTACAGTTTGGCCAATTTATTCCCCCTCGTGTGGGAAATGTACAAAGCCATGATATAGCAAAAAGTGTTCCTTTTTTTTACCGGGACTGCTCTGATGAGCCTCTCGTGAAGCGCAACATACCCGGGATGGTGTATTAAAATGATGAAATTGTTGAGTGTCCGACAAGTGACGAGAACGGGAGCGAGAATATGTAGTATAGCGACGTGTAGGGTAGGTGAAGATGGTCGGTGGCAAATGAAACTGAAACTTTGCGGGGTTTGCTTGGTCCTGCCACTGCCCCTGATCCTGCTGCTGATGATGATGTTAAGTTCAGGCTCGCCTAGGCGCATGTAAATACGAGCCTGCCGAGAGTTCGAGTGCATGTTGAACTAACATTCTCGAAAGCGCTTTCAAGTGTATGTGCAGGCCGGGCAGGGAAAAAAAACACAGGGAAATGAAATAGAAAAAAAATAGAGAAAAAAACTATAACTATGATGCTGTGGCAGTGAGACTGAAGCGAAGGCTGAGTGCGAGTGGCAAAAATCGCTGACTGAATGCAAACAAACATAATTGGATTTCTCTAGTTGCTGGTGAGTAAAGCCACACTCGAAGGAAATCTGGGATAAATCATTTGGTTGAAAAACAATATAAATGTTACCAATTTAAAGTTTTTGAATTAAATGTAGTAATAGAAATTCAAAATCAACAGAAAGGTGAAGATTCAGGTTACCAAGATTAAGTAAGATTGGAATAGAGCATTTAATTGATTGTACATTTAAATAAGTCTAGGTATAATGAAAGCCATGAATTATAAATGATTTACAATGAAATAATTCAAGATCCATCTCATGATCTCAGCAACATAGAATCCAGTTTTTCTGGCAGTGCAGCGGCATGCCCGCAATCCACACAGTACGGGGATCGGCCCACTGTTAGTTTTTATTTCAATTTGAGCTCCGAGGAGCCAACCGCACCCACCTGCCTGCCAGCGGCTGCTCCACCTTCCGCTTTACCGTCCTGGCCGTCCTTCTGTCTGCTAACAATTTTCCGTTTTGAATATATAGACATTTTGTACAAAATCCTCGCATCTATCTGCAACATATGTACGGCGTGGCGTGTGCACTTGCTTGTTTGTTTGTTGGTCGGATGGTGGCTGCGCCTATTGGCCTCGTCCTCGTGAGCGCGCATTTTCATTTGTATTTATGCAATTTGTTTGTTTGCCAGCCGGAAAATTCAATGCATCGAATGCATAGCTGAATGAGCCCGCCACCCACAGCCGCCCCACACTTTTCTGAGCATCTATCAATGGCATATTCTTATCCGGCGCTCTTTGTCCTGTGGCAATAATAGGAATATATTTCCATTTCGCCAGCCATATTGAGAATTATTTTTGCGGTCTTCGATTCGCTTCGTTATGCTGATTTTCATTTTTTTGCTCTCTATTTTCAATTTTCCAGGACATTTCGAGTGATGGACGATGATGGCAGCAAGAGTCTTAATGCGGAGGAGTTCAAGAAGGGAGTCTCTGATATCGGCCTGGAGTTGAGCGACTCTGAAATCCAGCAGATGTTCACCAGGTTGGTTAAGCTAAGAATAAAGATAAACAAAATAAATTATCCATTTGATATTTAGAAAACACTAAAAGCAATCAAAAATATTTCTTTACTCATTTATCTTTTCAGCTTCGATACTGATGGAAGCGGCAGCATCAATATGACCGAATTTTTGGTACAACTTCGGGTAAGCGCACTAAAACAGACAAGGTCTAAGTGTACTTTAATATTGTCGTTTACAGCCTCCCATGAACAAAACCCGTATCGGTATCATCGAAAAGGCATTTGACAAGATGGATGTCAACGGTGATGGGCAAATAACTGCCGTCGACTTGAAGAATGTCTACTCAGTGCGGGAGCATCCGAAATATCAAAGCGGCGAGTTGACAGAGAATGAGATTTTTGAGGCCTTCCTCAAAAACTTTGAGGCTGGAGCTCCGAATCCGGATGGCATCGTGACCAAGGAGGAATTTATCAACTACTACGCCACGATCAGTGCCTCGATCGACAACGACGCCTACTTTGATCTGATGATGCGACGCGCCTATAAACTCTAGATTGTGTTCCTTTCAGCAGTTCCAAATTTAACGTCCATTCGCCGTCTTTAAAGCTTGATGATCAGCGCACTAAAATAATAACTAAAAGCCAATGTTTTAATTAAAATAACTAGTTATGTTGAACGTTAAAGTGTTTTATTTATAGAAGAGAAGTACCCATACCATTTAGGAATAAGATTTCAAATTTGCTTGTCAAATCCATTCAATTCTTTTAATACCAATTTAATTTTCTTTTTTTGTGATTTCCGACATCTGCTATTTGTCGGCTTTAAACCGCTTTAACTAACCTAATCTTTGGCTTTGCCCAGCGATTTGCGAAATGACAACGCAAATCAGTCGAGCCGTAAACATTCTATGTCCATCCCCTTCTAGCGACCGAGCTGCGTGTAGTTTTGGCCAAATAATGCGCTATAATAATTTATTAAATTAAAGCCGCGTGCTAATTAGCATAAAACTAATTAGATTACTTGTACATGTGAAGCCGCAAAGCACGGCATAACACTCGCTGAGCAGAGCGACAGGATTGGGGTTTGGATTCGGTTGTGGGTGTTGGTGCGGCATATGCGGCATGCGGCATGCGGCGTGAGGCATGAGGCGGCATACGCGGCGTATGCGCAATCGTTAGCCGTGTTTTTGTCGCTTTTAATAAAAGTCAGTTTGGCAGAAAGTCAGACCAGCTAACACAGACAGAACAAATAAGCCTGATTAGCTGGTATTTACATGTGTGGGGCTGTCTGTAACTGCGTTTATACGACATATCCATGCTTTTGAAATTCAACCCTAATTTCGGCAGTAAAGAAGAATTTAGGGCTCCAAAGCATCGTTTAAGATTATTTTTATAAAATATATATAATTTCCCTAGATTTCGAAGTAACACAGACGTTAGTGTGAAGGAATAAACATATTCTTGGAAAATGCAAGTGTCAAAATGTTGGTTGACAAGTGAGATTCCTGTGAAGCGGTTAGCTACACTCATCCGTAATTCTGATCCCCAGAGGAGGAGGTCCTTCAGGACCTTTCGGGGGATGCAAAGTAATCATCGGAAATGCTTAATTAGAGGGTTATTAGGCCTTGGCGTCGGCGGCAATTGGCAAACTCTAATTACATTCATTTCGCATCAGCGATAAGAATACCACATCTGATTATAAGCCGGGTAAACATGGCACAACATCCACCGATATCGATAACAGCTCGGCAAACGTCTTTTCGGCCTGATTACGCAGTCAGGTTTTTGTATGCCATGTAGGCAATGTTAAAAGTTTGCCTAAGTAATTAAATCACTTCGATCTTTGCTAATTACAAGCCAGGAACATACAGTTAGCAGCCCGGTAAGAGTGTGTGCGCGTGCCTCCTTGACTGTGTCAGTATCTGCCAGACTGCGGGTGTATCTGTGAGCAGCTTGTTAGACAAAGCCCGCCATCGCCGACATTCTACATCCTACATCCAACAGCCAACAGCCGACAGCCAACATCCTCATCAGGCCAAAGGGCCAACAGTGCTGGGCAACAACAACAATGTTGACAAGTTACCTGCCAAATTAATGCAAACATGAAACGTGCGGCAACGGGAATATTAATTAACTAACTACCTGGGACACTCAAACTCTTGCACACACACATGCACGTAACACTGTCAAGTGCACTGAGCAAAACTATAGGGGTTATAGAAATTTAAAGGTTATATTCCTTTCATTTGTCAGGAGCCAATAAAAAGACCTGCTGTAATATGTAATTTATATATGTATTTCAATTATACATAATTAATCAAAACTAAATAAAATGTATACTACATGCTTGTGGAACATAAATATTTCTCTCAGTGCAGCTGAAAGTTCCCTGCCTCTGCCCGAGTGTATGTGTGTCCCTCGTGTTGGCAGTTGGCACTTGGCATTGTCAGATTTGAAGGCACATTCCCGGCTACGTTGTGCTCTGCTCTGCTCTGCTAACTAACTTGATCCCTGGCCCCATATCCAAAATAATTTCGAGGCTGAGCCAGCAGCCCGACGCTGCCAAGTGGCGTATGATTAATGAACGTTTCATTAGCGCCACTCGCATTACATACACGGCTTGGCCCGAGCCGGCAAAAGGGAGCAATGGAGTATTTGCATTTCCGCAGGTTGCCGAACGTGATCACAATATTATCTCTTCATCAGCAGCCTGTCCGGTTTTCCTCGGAAGAATGTGGAAAACTGGGTGGGGAAATGCAAAGAGTTCGCTATCCGCTTTTTCTACCAGAAAAAAACAGTGATGACAAAGCATGGTCTTCATTAACCAAATCAAAGTAGTCCTTATTATATTCAATTATTTAATTGTATGTCTGAAAATAATTTGCATACATTATCCATTGAAAAATATCACTGGTAAAATAGAAATCTTTGTGTTTGCTTATTTTATATTAAAAAAAATCACTTTTCGTGTTCTCAAATAATATTACAAAATTCATTTGTCAAAGATGTGCATTTCGCGCTGCAGTCGCCAGCCCTAATTAGGCTTAAAAGTGATACCTTTTCCATCCACCAAAAGCTCGTGGGTCTCAGCTGTCCTTTTTTTGGCTTGATTTTCTGGCATCTCTGCTATCATGGCCATGTTCGACTCCTTTTTGCCGGTGTGAGGCCATGTGTAGTTGTTTTTCTTGGGCTCCTCGTCGATGGGAGGGGTTGGAATGGTGGCAAGTTACCTGGCTTGCCTCTACTGCCATGGCAGCGGTAGCAGCGTTAACGAGTTACAATGATTTTCGTGCTAATTAAAATGGTTTTTGCATTTAGCTTACCACATTAGCATTTCGTTTAGCAGTTGAGCAAGCACCTGCAACATCAATTACGCATACGCAGCGTTGCCTGAAACGAAAACCTTGCCCAGAAGTCTGTATGTGTCGCCTAACGAACTCCCATCTCTTTTGTCACATTTTGTTCCACCTTTGTTGCATATCTACCATATGCATAAAGAACTATCCATTTCAGTTTCTCTGCACTTCATGATGCAGCCTAATTAGATGTTTGAGAAGGTTTGACAACTTTGGTTGGCAGGGAATGAGCTCGTTAGTGGTTATCAATTTCCAGTGAGTTGAAGTTGTGTTTGGCCCTGACAAGATAAAGCTTTAAATCTTTGAAACAGATGATTTGTCATTATAAATTATTTATCATACACTCTGAAAAATAAATAACCTAATAGAGATAATAAATATAATATAATATATATATAGATAACATAAATTTTAATATATACAAGCTGGAGTGTTAAAAAACGATACAATAACACATTCAAAACCACAGAACTTTATGTAAAAATCCAACTTAATTTTGGTCAGTAAATTCCGTCTTAAAATAGCTTTAGTTCTCATCGACATTGAAAAATTTTCTAGTATTTTGTTTGAAATTCCAAATAGTCATCTTGCCATTTCGAATATGTTTCATAATTGAACGAGTTATCTAGCAGTCCAGGCCGAAAATATAGACCAAGTACTCGTTTAATATCAAAAATCCAACTTGACTAAACTGCTGCCACTTATGGCCCAATCTAAGTGAAGTTATACTTTCGAAAAATGGCTTACTCGATGCTCCGGGCACATGCCGTAACACGTGTTGCAAACTTTCTCGCAATTCGGATAAAGTTATTTTTGGCCAACAATAAGCAAATGCGGGAAATGCTACCAAGTATTTTCATGGCTCCTAATGCAGGGTATTTCATTGTTGCCCCACACACACACACTCCGACATCCAAGAACTGGCAACTCGCATGCCGGACACGTGTAAAAGTTCGGTTTTAAACACTTGCAAACAGCAAAATGTTTTCGATTTTTGAAGCGTTCCTCGCTTTTGTTTTATGAATCACAGCAGCATCCGAGCAGAGAAATCCCCAGAGCAGGGAAAACTTTTAGTTTCGTATCGCCCACGTTTACTGTCAATAAAACTTTGCTTGAGCCGGTAAAATGAAAAGGGAACGAACGGAAAATCCTTTTCCAAAAAGATAAAAATAAATAAAAATATTACACTCACAGGGTGTTGGTGAAACAAACACAAAAGGAGCCGCATAGATTCTGCCAGAGAGACAGAGATAGACGGTGGCCAGAGAGATGTCTTATAAAACATGCAAATGCAATGAAATTACACGTTACGTATACGCCCCGTGCTGCAGCCAGAGAATATAAAGAAAACAGCAAAGCAGGCAAAGGAGGCCAAACTCCATATAGCAAAGGATTATGCAAAATTATGCAAAAGAAAAAAGGAGCAAAGAAATGCGAAAAGCAAAATCCACGCACATTAAATTAAAGTGCTTTCAATAAAGTCAAATCGTGACTTTGGCTCTAATGACGAGGACAAAGGACGAGCCGGCAAATCTCTTTTCGGTGCTAACAAATTGACTTGCAAATCTCTTTTCACTTTTTTCGTATTTATTATTATTATTATTTTGATTATTATTATTATAATATCTTTGATTCGGCGCAAGTATTTCATAATTTTCGATGGGCGTAGCCAAAGCGGATGCCGCACTAAAAGCGCACTCAGCTCAAAGACATCCAGCGGAAATAGTTGGAAAAGCGGGCTGGCAAAAAGAGAACAATATGCGACTGAAATCTACACTGAGCACAAATTCCTAGACACTTAATATAATCATTCCATTCACCAGTTTATCGTTTACTTAGAGTAGAAATAATGTAGACGAAATGTAATATCTTCCGGAATGCTGCTTCGCTCAGTGTGTTCGTTGCATGGGCCATACAAAACACGCGACCCAGACGAGTCATAAGCAGCTGAAAATCAGGATCCAAGGACGGATCGGGATGAGGAGGCTTGAGCCATTTCGGTGGCCGACAATGACCCGGGACCGTGGAACCGTGAAGCCGTGGGGCAGGACCAAAGGGGTTCAAAAACGAAAGCCGCAGCCAGACGACCGCCATTTATAGCGAATGGATTCGGATTTTTCGGATTTGCGCACAAGATAATGTGCAGCCTTCCCCCCTTATACCTATCTCCTGTATATATATATGTTTTATGCATCCCTTCCCCTTTGGCCCGATCGCCGAGTTGCATGCAAGAGGGCTAAGCAGCAGCTCGAATGCAACGGAAATAGTTTTGTGTGAGATTTATTGCCACTCTGGAGAGTCATAAAACGGAAATT